CATTGCTTCATAACAAGGATACATTCTGATAAATACAATGTCAGATAATTCTGTTTTTACGAATCTAATATTCAGTGCTCTCCCAAACATAGGTGGTATAAGCCACTAAACTCCTAACACATAAGATATATTTATATTCAAACATATATTTGGTATATGTATTTATAGTATACAGTATGCATAGACCATTGCTCCTTGGGCCATGAACTAATAAGAAAATTAAAAAGGAAAATAGAAGATAATGAAATCAATACACTTGCCACCATGAAAACTCTGGCGTCCCTGCAAGCATAAAAGTGTACCGTTTTATAGGAAAATTTTCTTTAAAAGATTAGGGCTACATAAATATAAATATTGAGCATAGTATAGAAAATATATTTACAAATAATAGTGCATTATTATCAGCATTAATATGTACTAAAATGCTTGTGTTTGCTGTACTTTTATGTGACTGGCATAGCAGTACTGTGTTTGCTCCATCATCATCACAAACTCGTGAGTAATGCATTGTATCCTATTATGTTAGTATGAAATCATTGGCCAGTGACACTTTTTCACCTTCATTACCTTATGAGAAATCAGTACAAATGGGCAGAAAGCATAATATTATTATTTGTGACAATAATTTCATAAATGGCCTTTGAAAAGATCCGGGAAGTGTTAGAGTTAATATGTGAGACAGGAACTAAGGTGTTGTCCAATCAAACTGTTATCATGAACTATTAATTGAAATGAAGATAGGAATTGTTATAAATATTATAAAAGGGAAGTTAAAAATGCCACAAAGGATATAAAATGGAATACAAAAGATACACTGAATAAAAATGAGGAAAGAAACCTCCTATTGGACACCAAGGAACAAAGACCTGTAAAGGACAGGTAGAACATTAAGAGCAAAATTGCAGAATCACTTTATGATCAGTATGTACTTTAAACAGAACAAACAATCTAGGTTCTTAAATAAATAGAAATCCTGGGTCCTCGTGGCTCTCTCACAGGTTTCTTTGGACTGTTGAGTCTCTGAAGAAAAGCTATAAATGAGTTGGACTCTCCTGCGACAGAAACAAATCTCACGGTTACAGGAACTACACTGGCCCTCTCGCCACATCTGCAGGGCTGTGCCCCTTTCTGTGCTGGACTGGACAAGCCATGGAGGGCAAATCTAGCATTGAGTACAGCTGGGTTTCTTTTTCTTGTATAATCTATCAGGTGAGAGCTTCACAATTAGTGGCCATCAGAAATGCAGCCAGGGACAGCAAGGAGAGAGACTATGGCTGGGAAGGAGGGGCAAAAAAAGAGGCCAGGCTGATGGTGAAGAGGGACTGAAGTCTCATTCCCATCACTGGAAGAAACAACAGTCTATGCTGCCCTGGGCTCCAGTGACCTCTATCTGAGAGCCAGACCCTCCAGGACACTCACAAGAATATGGGCACATAGAGGGCCTTACTTGAAAAATGCACTGGTGATCCTGGGCCTGGGTGTCAGTCTATGCAATTACTGAAGGGCATTGATTCTTGTGGAAAACTACTCTGAGTTTCAGATGCTCTTGATGGGAGCACAGTGCAGGGGTTCAGGTGTCCCAGGACCTGTGTTCTTCACCAGGGCAGCTCACCTTCCTGATGTTTCTCACTGAACTTTCAAGTCTGGGACCCTGGCCTCTTCTCAAGGCTCCAGAGATTGTCTCTCTTTAGAAAAAGCAAATGATTCTTACTGTGACAATACATTGCTATGTCACATCTCCAGCTCTTTATAGTAAAATAGAAATACAAGTCAAACCTCATATGTCACTTCACATTTATGATTAATCATCTTTAAGTGAAAATAACAGGAAGAATTAAGTTTAATTATACATGTAATTTTATTTGATGTTCTATAACATTATTATTTCACTATGTAATCCATATTTAGAATGGGACTATTTTTCATTATTCTTCTACTAAGTCTTTGACATCCTGTGTGTATTTCATACGTACAGTACATCTCTACCTGTGTCATGGACATTATGGGCTCAGCAGCTACCTGTGTCTCTTGATGGCTATATTGGTCAGATCAGGTGTAGAGAGAATAGGTTATATTGGAGTAATCACATCTGTAGTATATGATCCTAGCCAGGGGGGGCGGCATAGAATATCATACCCTAAGAGCCTCACAAAGCAAGAATGGCTGCTTTGCCTTCAGCTCACACCAGAGAAAAGCAACAGTGAGATAAATATCAAATGAATGATTAAAATATGTGGGCCATGATTCTTTCCTTTTCAAAGACATTATCCACAGTTTGAACTAGGAATCTAAGCCACGAAGTGTATTTTACTACTGCTCAGTGGAATGAATGGTAACAGTTTATGTAAATTATCTTAGGTCAGCGGCTTCAGTGTTTCCATTCCCGTTGGAAGAACCCTCCACAAAACCTATTGAGATACCCCTCAGGCAGGACTGTAAAATAGGTACAGTGTGTGGGATGGCTACTAGTGAGAGGGGGGAGGTTGAATGAAGGAGATTAGTTGAGGGTATATGGTTGATGAACTTCATATACTTATAGGTAATAGAACAAAGGAACCTCTTGTAATTGCTTTAAGTGAGGCAGAGAGGGTGCTGAGGCAGATAGGTGCTGGGGGCACTGTAACAAATGAATAATATCAAACTAATTGAAGTCATCACTATGAATGCCCCCTGTAAAATGAATATGGCATAATAAAAAATTTATAAAATAAAAAATACTTTTGAGAACTAGTAAGTTTATTTTATGTACATAGAAATAAGAGAAAGAGGACTGATCATGAGGACATTTATTGATGGACCTTTAGAGAATTGACATTCTTTACCCTGAGATATATTTTCTCCCCACAAGCATCTAGTATGTTTTTGAAAATCAATTCACTAAAGGATGGTCGTAAGGAATTTGAACCAGTGTTGAATCAGGACCCACAGACAAGTTGTCAGAAGTGGCCTGTAAATCTAAGAGAGTTCTGGAGGTGATGCCTCTATATGGAATTGTGACCCACTTTCTACTATCTGAGAGAAAAGAGTGTTCATGAGGGCTGTCTCATCACTCGATGTAAAGAGAGTTTGTACATTAGACACTGAGTTGGGTGTCCTCACCCAACTGAGGTTGGGTGGGTCCTGGGAATCTCACCTTTACATTCAGACACTCATCCTTGCTTCTTCATAGTTTCCTTGGCTCCTATGCACTACACACATTCCCTCATTGTCAGTAACACTAGGTCATATGGCTATGAACACCTGCTCTGAAGATAAACACTTAGATCAGTGTATTCAGTGATATCAGCCGAAGCCAGTCCATTCCCTTGTGCTGGACATCTATGAATCTGATGTCTGGTCCTCAGTGATTCCTGACTGATTTTCAAGGTCCAGCACTAGGAACACAGTCAACTTGACCAGCCATGTAGCACAGGCAATGGGTGAGTTTTGACAACATTGGTACAGATCTCATGGACATGGGTACATGGGGAATTGAAACACAAACCCCTTCCCTTTCTGTATCATAGACTTCCCCCACCCTAGGAGGACTGAAGACCAAACAGCAATGTGCTCTGTCATATTTGAGACCCCAAGCAACCCTTTCCTCCTAGACCCCAAGTCAGGATTTGTAGACAGTGGAACAGGGATGGGTATAATAAAGGTAGTATAACAACATTCCATTTGTTTAAGAGACAGAGAAATGATAAACAAAATATGGTGGGTGACCAAAAGGAATCCACGTTTAGCATGTAGAATTGAAGGATACAATATGGGAATTTTTAACAATGTGAAAAACCCTGGGGGAGATGAGATTCATAACATATATAGTAAAATACACCGATGATTGACAATTGAATAGACATGATAAGTGAAAAGAACAAGTCATCTTTTTACATAGCAATAGAAATTATTTAATATAAAACGTGGTTGTAGCGGGGGTAGACAAGACTATAGCTTTGTGTGTTGTAGAATATTTTCCTGCAGTTTAAGGTGGGGCCATTTCCATGATTGCTGTCCAAGGCAGGGCATGGCAGGCAAATGCCTCTACCAAAATATCATTAATATTTTCTGTAAAAATCAACACCTTCAGCTTGGGGATGATACCATCCAGGAACACAAAGAAGCTTAATTTCTTCCCTGGGGACATCAATTGAAGCATAAAAGAATCCCAGGCCTGAGCGGCAGTTCTAAATCACCACCTGAACCAAGGGGGCTCCTGTGTTTTCAGTAACCAGTGTGGAATGGCCACGAGGGGGCAGCAGAGACAACCTGGGAAGGCCAACTGGGGAAGAATTGGAACTGAGCATTAGGGGAACCTATTATATAGTAGGTTAGTGTCCAAGAAGAGGCCTGAAAGAATGCTAGTATTTTTTAACTTGTATTAGAAATGAAAGTACAAATTCTTGGTCTCTGAATATCTCATGTATGCCAAATTTGTAAAATTTCTCCCTTAATCTTGCAAACCTGCTGGGGATTCATTTCACCATAGACCACTACTTATGCTGTAGGTCTATCATGTCATATGGTGTTTGATTATAGGTTGTGAGGCCTTCCCTGAGCGAACTGAAAACATAGGCAGATCAAACCATAGGTATGGATTACATAAAACCTCACGGTAAGGATACTGATTTATAGCACAAATGGGGTCTTGAAATTTTTCATGGATATTTTATTTCCACTATGCATTCCATTGTTTGTGATCCAGGGTGGCAGTCTATGATACTGCAAGGCCTCACGAGCCTGGCAACTAGTCCAGGGAAGATTGTGTTTGAGATATTGCCTAAATTATGGGCCCTGCAGTTGACTGGGCTCTTCCTGGCTGAGTGTGTGTCTGCAGGTTCACCCTTCCCTCAGTCCTCCTGCTTGAGCTCTACATTCACCTCAACAGAGTTCCTCCTCAGTAGTGATGAGTTCAGAAGGATTTGCATAAAAGGTAGCTCCCCCTGCAAGGGGATAAGAGAGGCCTGGGAGGAAGGCAGCCAGCTAGGGCCTCAGGGAGCAGCATGAGGACCTCTCTCAGTATGGCCTGGAACTTGCTCTTCTTCAGCCTCCTGCTTCACTGTACAGGTTTTTCCCAAACCCCTCCAAGCCAACATCCCAACTCAGGGCTATGGGATTTGCCAGGCCAGGCCTCTGAGCTCAGCAGGTCCTTTGCATGAACAGGATACTCAGAACCTGCTAAGAATGGGGACTGTGGTGCCATAGAATTCCTGTACCTCATACAGTTTAGTTGGGGGATGGTCATTTATTAGAGAGTTACTTAATATTCAATCTCTCCTTTTCTCTCCTTGCAGGCTCTGTAGCCTCTTATGTGCTGACTCAGCCATCCTCAGAGTTGGTGGCACTGGGACAGACGGCCAGGATCACCTGTGGAGGAAACAGCATCGGAAGTAAAAGTGTGCAGTGGAACCAGCAGAAGCCAGGACAGGCCCCAGTGCTGGTCATCTATGATGATAGTAGCCAGCCCTCAGGCATCCTGACAGATTCTCTGGCTCCAACTCAGGAAACACAGCCACCCTGACCATCAGCAGGGCCCAGGCTGAGGATGAGGCCGATTATTACTGCCAGGTGCGGGACAGCAGCAGTGATGTGCACAGTGACACAGACAGATGAGGAAGTGAGACAAAAAACTGCCACCAGCCTGGCTCTCACAGCCCCTCCTTAGTGTGTTCACACTGACAGTAACCTGCCTGCCACATGGAGTTGATATCTCAAGTGAAAATCTGTAGACATGTAGACACAGAATTCTTGTTACACCAAGAGGCCCCGATGGGCTGTAGAAGTGGGCTGCATGGATCACCAGCCACCCTCCCACACTTGACTGCTCACTGGGCTGAGTCAAACACTGGGCCAGATTCCTCTAACCCTGGTTGTATCAGGATGACAATGTCTTGGATACAAGTGCTGCCTTTTCCCTCTACTGTTGGCCCCAACAGCACCTGTCTTCTTCCAGTTATGTATTTAAAAACCTGGTTCATGTTAATCTGCCTTTGTTTCATGTTCTTTGGTGTTTGACTCAAATAAGAGGAAGAAATCACATGTTTGACTGTTGATGTACTGAGCTAGAATTTATGCAATTTTTCTCTGACCCAGGCAATAGGATTTGAAGAAGTTACCTTTATGAGAGCTTGGGGAAATAAACTGCAGGAAAATTCAAGTAACTGGTACCATGCTGGTCTAGACTTTTTAATTCTCAACTTATATATTTTCTTGGAACACGCTTATTTGCCTGACTGTTTTAATAGCCAAATCAAAGTCTGAATTGACATACAATGAACTACCCATGATTAGAGGGCACACATTGATGAATTTCAATATATTCACATTTCCCAAATCTTGCTTAGGTTATTAAGAAAATGGACATATTATCTGCTTACAAATTTCCTCCCACCATTTCATACTTTTCCACCCCCTACTCTTTTTACCCATCCACTTCCCAGAGCAGTGCTGATCTGCTCTCTGTTACTGTAGGTATGCTGTCCTTTCTGAAAAGATAAAAAAAATGGGTGTATACAATGTTGCCTTTTGTCTATGTTCTTTTTTCAAGAATAATTATTTTGAGAGTAACTCATATTTTTGCGTGTGTCAGTACTTTGATAAATTTTGCTGAGTAGTACTCCTTTGTAAAGGTGTACCAAAATTTTTCATTCACTTGATAGGTATTTGTACTATAATTTTCATTTACTGAAAATAAAGCTGCATTAAATATTCTTGTATGAAACATTGTATGAACTTTCATAGGAATAAAAGTGGTGGATCATATTCTAAGTATATGTTTAAATTTTAAATAAAGTGCCAAACTGTTTTCTGAAGTATTTTTCCACAAGCAATGCAGAAGAGTTCTCCACTTTTCTCACAGTTAGTGTGGTCAGACTTTTAAATTTTAACTCGTGAACAGAAAGGTAGTGCTAATCCCTTGTGTTTTGAATTTTCTTTTAGCTAATGAATCATTATAATAAGCAACTTTTCATGTAATAGCTGAGGTCTATAGGTCTTTCTTCATGAAATCTACTCTAATTGTTTTCCTATGTTTATATTTTTCTAAAAAATTAACTTATAGTTTTTATGTAGTATAGAAAGAATTTTATTTAGATACAGAATAGCAAATATTTTTACCCAAAAATGTGCCTTACCATTTCATTCTCATATTAAAATCTTCCAAAGGGTGGAAGTTTTTAATATTGACGAAACATGATTGATTACTTTTACTTTTTGGATCTTATTTGAGATATGTGTAAGGTATCTTTTGAATTCAAGTGCAAAGACATTTGTCCCATAGAAATTTCTTAGTTTTATATTTTACACTTTTGTCCTTGAGTTAAATTTTATGTGGTACGTTTTAGGGATTTTAGTTCAAGTCTTTTGTATGGCTCTGTGTGCACCTATGCATATACTACATGCATCCAGAATTATTTGCAAAATAACCTCCTTTCTCCTTTGAATCTTTCTTAGATATCAGTTGTCTGTCTATGTGTGGCTCTGTAGGATCTGTACTCTGTTCCACTGACCTATTATGTCTGACTCCTGATTTCAATACATTCTCCTTGCTGCTTTTCAGTTGCTCATGCAAACTGTCTCCAGCAGTGTTCCCTCACCATTTTAATGCACCTGCATTGACATATGCATTGTATAAATCTATGCACCCTGGGTTCAAAATAGGATTATTCCCAAAAATCACTTTCAAATTTATAAAAGAGTACTATGTAGCCAAATAAGTCCAAACAATTTCATTGTATTCTGTCCTAAAAAACATGTTATGACATGTGGAGTGTGTAGACAGGTGGAAGAAAACAGAAAACATTATTAGAGGGCAATGGGAGCAAAAGAGAAAATGAAACGAAATACTCAAGCACTAAATGTTAAAAAAAATAATGTATTTATCTAACAGTTTTCAAATTACATTGAATATATTGCTATAAAAGTACAAAAATTTAAGTAATATTTCAAAATGCTTTTATTTACCAAATGCACTGAGATACACGGTAAAATACAGAAATATTTTCCATATCTGACTTGTCTTTTATTTTTCATCCATACAAGGAGTTTTCTTTACATTACTCCATGTCTCACACATATCAGGGTGAATAAAATGGAATTTTCCTCAAAGAGACAAATGAACAAAATACATGTTGCCAACTTGTCTAAAACATTTTAAATGTCCTGACTCATTTTTTTGTGTTGGCATTGCAAAACAGTTCTTATTATGATTTGACTTTTATAGAAATGTTGATAACTTCAGTGAAGTCACAGAAAGACCATATGGACAACTGAAAGTATCCATGGAAATATGATAAAAACAATTAATACCTTGGTATTTCAGGTCAATATCAATCTGATGTCTTGAACTTTAGTCAGAGGAAAAGACTCTTTTGATGAAAGAAGTTCTTTGTATAAAATTTTTTCTGCTTTTAATGCATTATGTCTCTCAATTTATAGATAATTATTATTCATATTTGATAGGGCCATCTTAGAAGGTGGTACAATACAATAGGAGACATACCAATTTTTGGGGACCTTGAGGATTAATTAAACAAAGACACTGTTTTCAAGGCTGTATATTTTAGCCTTATTTCCTAAAGACAAATGGGAATATGCACATGCTTTGGTTATTTAGAACAAATAAATACATACCCAGGAAGTCGTGAACATTGTTAAATATGGAAGAAAAAAGAACTAAAAATGTAGTGCTGTTCATGGGAAGTTTACAATTTATTTTGTGGGGGAGCACTCACTGCCTTAAGAAGGACATTAATGAATGTGGCCCCATGAGTTACACCACATCTTCCATTTATCTTTAAATGTACAATAAAACAGAACAGCAAAAAGAGATTTCCTCTTGGTAGTTATTAATTGGTAGTGAAAATTAAGAAAAGAATCTCCAGGGTTTGATTAAATACTATCACTCTGGTGCTCCATCTCTCTTTAGCACATAGGCTGTGAGTCCATCATCCTGGGCTCATATTATGCATTCTAAATACCTTTATTAAAGTGAGTGAGAATTTGTATTCACATTAAAAAATGAAACTAGACCCCATCTCTCACTCTGTACAAAAGCCAATTCATATTTTATATGCATCAAATACTTTAATGTAAGATCCAAATTTTTGAAACTGCTATAGAAGAACATTAGAAAAACACTTGAAGGTATAGGTAGAACCATGACTATGAATAGGCCCTCAATTGCTCAGAAAAAAAGAGCAAGAACTGACAAATGTGATTACACCATATTAAAAAGTCTTTGAACATCAGAGAAACAATCACTACAAAGAAGATACATGCCACAGATTGGGAGAAAATGTTTGCAAGGTATACATTGGCAAAGGAAAAAAATTCAGACTATATGAAGTGCTCAGAAAGTAAATGCCAAAAGAATGAATAATTTAATAAATAAGAGACAAATGAAGTATACAGACAGTTCTCAGAAGTACAAAGTTTAATAACTATAAGAAGAAATGTTCAACATTGTAAATGTAAATCAAAATGACACTGAGATTCCATTTAATCCTAGTCAGAATGGCTATCATCAAGAAAGCTAACAACCACAAATGGTGGCACAGATGCAGGGAAATAGGGACACTTACACTTTGTTGGCAGGAAAATAAATAGAGCAGCCACTAAGGAAATCAGTGTGAAGTTTCCTCAAGAAACTAAACATGCAATTACTCTATGATATTGTTATACCACTCTTCAGAATATATCTGAAGGATTGTAAGGTAATTAACAGTCAAGACACCTGAATAGCCATGTTTATTGCAGCATACTCACAATAGCCAAGCAATGGAATCAGTCTAGGTGCCTCTAACTGCTGAATGAATAAAGGAAACATGGTACATATGCACAATGGAGTAGTTCTCTGCCATAAAGAAAAATGAAATTATTTCATTTGCACTAAAATGGAGGAACTGGATATAATGGTGTTGAGTTATTATAACCCAAGCTCAGAAAAATTAATAGTACACAGTTTTCTTATATGTGGAAGTTAGACTACTACTCCAAGTAGTACTACCAAAAAATAATAATAACAATGACACACACTAAAAAGTGGAGAGAATTTGGAGGTGATAAAATCAGTTTAGAGGGTTTAGTCTTTTCAAAGTCTCTTATAGGCTTGTTTGAAATTATCATTTTTTTTACAATTTTACAATTATTAATGCTAATACAAATGTCAAACAATAGAGATCATAAAAAAGAAGCAAATGGCAATCACAGAATGGAAAAAATGATGAAATTTAAAACAAATTTCTGGAGAAGGAAACAAAATCTCTCAGTGGATTTGAATACCTTTAGAGCAGGTATTTAACACCAGAAGTACAAAGAGATATAAAAGCACAGCAGGGGGTGCTGTGGTTCTTCTCAGTGTTTGCAGGGCCTGAACCAGAATCCCATGGCTCACGCATGAACTGGCCTGACATAATGGGTTAGGCAGGTGCTTCCTCCCATGAGGAAACTCACAGTTCAAAACAACCCAGCTTCCCTGTTGGTGGAGCTGATCCTCAGACCAAGAACCCCAAATCCATTGGGTCTGGTGGTGTTAGATAAGGGTCTACAAAATAACCACATGTCTTCTACCAAGAAACTGAGGAGGAGGAAAAAGGACCATGCTACAGTCCAGG